ATTATTTTCACCCAAGGAAAAGCGCTACATATGAAGCTACAATTGTCCCATTTACCAGTTTTTACAAACCCAAGGATGAGTCCTTCCTGCATTTGCGACAGGTATACTTTGTGCAGTGCACACAACGCTCAGTGCTGTGGTTCCTGTTGCAAAGATTGCACACCTGGCCTGCTTATAATAACAATGAAAAAAATCTGAAAAAATAGAGTTTAGCACATATTCCCAAAGTAAGAGTTGTAGTATGAACTAGATGAGGTTATCTATGTTTGGAGGCACTACAATGATCTATAGTGTAATTATTCATTGTATGATAACTGTAAAAAAATAAAGGTTTCTACTTCACGGATTTCACCTATCGCGGGTTCTTTTTGGAACGTAGCCCCCGCGATTAACGAGGGTTCACTGTATTTAAAATGGGAATACTCCGGATTAGCTCACTGATTTATGGGGTGATCACAGCCATCTCTGACAACAGCTTAGAAATGCCACTATTCATCGTGGCAGCAATCAGCATTTTTGCATAATGTGCCCAAAAAGCTTGGGGGTTGGGCCTTTCATGCTTGTTGTATCAGGCATCATAGTGTCCTTTTCCAGATCAAACTGAAAATTTTACCTGCTGGATAATAATAATAATGATAATAATAATAAAAATAACAAAAATAGTATAACAATACGCCTATTATTATCAGAGTAAGATATTGAGGCTGTAGAATGATAATCCCTATTAGGCCATAGACTAGCTCTCAGAAAGTGGCTAGAAAGTGAGTTCCATTCCAGCATCTTGGGTAATACTTTTTATTATTGTTTTTATGAAGTAAAATAGTTAATCTTCTTTGAAAAAAAGTTCCTTGATATAGCAGGCATCCTGCAGTTAGTGAGTAATCGTCATTTGAAGTTGGGTAATACATGAAAAGATTGACATTTTAGCCTCTAATAGCATCTTTGACTCCAATTATCTCTAAAAGTAATAAAGCCACACTCTTCAAACTTGGTAGATCTGTGGATGTTGGGATCTGGAGATCTGCCACCTGTCTCCAGCAGAGAGCGCTATGGGTCTCCTGAGCTGGAGCCTCCTGCACAACTGAGGATCATCAGCCCATCAGGAGACCTTCTACATAAGCAGTGGCCAGACCTGTCTTCAGCGCCGGAGTGTTGTCCAGTTTTGGTTAGCGGAACCTGAGCCTCAGTTTGCATTAAGAACCTCTGTCTGCTCTAGAGAGCAACCTGATCCTAACCTGCCTCTGTCTTCTCTAGTCACAGGAAATCTTCACAAGCGATGCGAACATTCCCACATATGTCCAATATGAAAGATTAGGAGGATATGAGCAATTGTTGTGAAGAAATCTTTATTTAAAAATCTAAAGCAGCTTTGTTTCCAACACAGTGCTATTTAAACAAGTACACAGCGGGATCTAATTTTTCTTATTGATAACATGTCAGGTTTAGATTATGAACAAAATTAAAAACAAATATGTTGCATATACTCTATATTTATTATCCAAATTATGTACAGCATTATAAAACAAAATTACAAGAAGGTTTATCAATACAGAAGATTCAACAATAACTGCCTTGCTCGTTCTCCGACATTGTATACTGAGAAAAGTGGTTTTCACAAGCCTCACCATGCTCACTGCACTAAATATTAATATTAACAAAATATTTGCAAATTCTACAATGTCTAATAAGGCATCATTATGAATGTCAATGATGGTTACAATGTCTATTGGTCGGTGTCAAATGTCTCATTATCTTCAGACTAGATTGTACAATCATCATCGTCATCATCATCGCTATCATCACTAGACAGAATTTCCTCTTCTCCAGTAACATTTTGACAGTTCTTGACTTTTGACAGAATACTTACATGAACATCATTTAGTATC